TTGGCACACTTATTGTGACAGCTGCTTCTTGGACTGGTAGAATTGGTTTAATGATCCTTGGGTTTATAATATTTGGGTGAGCATTTACTTATTTTATTTTATATTTTCTCTTTTATCTCAATTTGATCTCTGGAAGCTATAAGCTAAACGGTTGCCAACCAAATTTTTATAATCTTTTAAAAAAAATGTGTAGCATGGGGTTGGCGCCTTTGACGATCGTCCAAGAAACAATCATTGTTCAGTTTTTTCAAGGGAATGGCTTAGGGCTTGCTTTAGCTGCTGGTATGACATTGGGGAGATTAGTAAGTTTTATATAATAACTAGGGTTAATCTATTTATGAATAACTCGTTCAGACAGATAAAAAACTATTAAAATCATATTATATAACTTTTATTCATATACATTTTTATAAAAATTTAGGCATCCTTTCTTGCAACTATATTAGCCGTACCATTGTCCATGGTGCCAACATTTGAATATCGTATGCCTTTCGTTGTAGCCACATTTACATGCTTTTTATCTTGGGTAATGAACATTATATATGTATGTCTTTTAAGACATGCTAAAAATAGAAATCGCACAAAGGAAGGGGCTGCATTTTATCAAGTAGTTGAAAATAAAACGGTCCATTGGAATGCTATATTTACACTTTCCGACATCTTTTGGTGGTCATTAGTTGTAGGAGTTTTATTCGGATCTTGCGTAATACCGTTTCTCCATTTATCCAGGTAAGTATGGTAATTCTCAAATAAAAAATTTTTAACATTTTAACGTTTTTTTTTTTTTTTTTTTTTTTGATATAGTAATATAATAAAACATCGATATGATACAACGGATTTATTGGCATCATGGGATGCATCTATAATCATGTTAATGCCAGTGGCAGTCTATCCATTCTTGGGATTATTTTTGGATAAATACGGACACCGATTATCGATTTGTAAGTGAATTCTATTTAACTTTTAAACTTTTATATAATATTTATTGAGATTTTTAATGTAAATTTACATCAATATTTAGTAATATTTGGCTCGTTGGCGTTCTTGTTTACCTTTTTACTATTGCTGGCACCTCCAAGCATCGTTCATCCATTATCACCGATTCTTCTTTTTGCGGTTGCCTACTCCATAGTTCCACTTACTATGGTTACTCTTATCCCACTACTTACAAAGCACGTGTCCACTGGTCTTGGACTTCATAAAAGTGTAGACAATCTTGGTGCTACATTATTTCAAACAATAACTGGCTTGTTGCTTGATGCGCAAGCAACGAAAAAGACATATATTTTAGATGAAAATGGTGTTGAATTAGGACACGAAGATGATGATTTAATTGCGTTGAAGATGTTTACAGTTTTGAGTTTATTGGCTGTTTTGAGCTGTTGTATATTTTGGTGGGCGGACAAAAAGTACAGAGCAGGGAGTCTCGACTCAATAAATACTGGTTTTACTCACGATATTCATGATAATATGGATTACGGACAATTACGCGAAAATGAAGAGGTAAACAGTGAAGGACGAATACTCTCAATGAGCATGATTGATGAAACTACCCTTTCAAAAACAGCAATAGCAAATAAAAAGAAAAGGACCACAATGTATATGTGGATAATGGGCCTGATGCTTTTTATATGTTGGGTTGTCTTTGGAGTTGTTGCTTATGAGAAGGCTGGAGTACATGCGACTGCCAATGCTAAATTAGATAGTGCAGTTGGTGGGGAATGAAGATCTAATACCTGAAAGCTATAGGTTACCATGAACATCTTTGAAAAAAAAAATTAATTATTATTAATCGACTATATAGTCTAATGAATAAATTGTACAACAAAATTCAATTTTGGCTAAATTATAATAATCAACATAATTAAGATCATATCACCATAACATATAACTAACTAGTCCTTTGATTTGAACAGTTTATCGCTCCTTTCATGTAAATAGGCACAATTCATAACTATACTAGGAAAATAGATTTCTAATAAACAAATCAGAATTAAAAAAATTGTTTTTGCAAAATTAATCACTGCTTCGATAATTGATCCTATATGCATGTATGCACCCTTTTATAAATGTAATACCATTTTTAATGCATGCATTGATCCAATCTTGAGTTTTTTGCAGCACTTATCATAACCACCCTGCAGAGATTTTCATTATTAGTTACCAAACTACTAAGAAATAATGATTCATTTTTTTAAATTTAATACTGCAGATCATAATGAAATTGGATTAAAATGTAATTTGGGTTCCTTTTTAATCCCTCTAAAACCCATTTACGGACATTCTTTTATTAAAGATTCTCGCAAACTCCCTAAAAATTTTATCAGGGTGCATAAATTTCAAATTAAAATAACGATAAGGCCAGATTTCATTTTAATCTGTCATAAGTACGTACGGACGATCTACGAACAGTTCTTAGGGACAGGTTAAATCACATGAATAGCTAGTTAGGGACAGTTAAGGTTAGTGGTTTTAGCAATATCACGTGAATTTGACTGTCCTTACTGTCCGTAACCACATGATAGCATAGATTTAACTTTTTACGTAATAAGTAATTACCTTGTCCATCTCTAATTAGTAAACCGCCTGCTTTCGATTGCAATTTTAAAGGTTTCTTGAAAAGAGAGACTCATTCAAAAATGTTTAGATAGATTCTACGATGAGCACAAGTTTAAAATAAGATAAAAAAAAACTTGAGAAGGATTAAAGATTTATTCATTATTTCATATATTCTAATATGAATAAAGCCTATTTATAAATCCATTCATGCCAACTTGTTAACATAATTAATTCCCATTGAATTATAATGAAAGAAAAGGTTTAGGATATGAATTTATTGATTCTTTTTATAATAAACTAATACAAATTTTAGAATTTAAAAATTAAAATTATAGGTTACTTGTATTTGACAAATTTGATTGTACGTATATACAATATCATTTTTTTTTAAAAAACTATATATATACTATATATTTATATAAATTAAGACATGCGCTATATTAACGTGATCGAAATTCAGTAACGATAATAAATATTTAAATTAAGGCTTAGTTATATTGTATAAAAAATCGAAACATTTGATCGATTGTTGCTATGTTATGTTTATCTACAGTATCTGTTCGAGATTTTTTTTAGAAAAATCATCTAACCAAAATATAAATAAAAATATAATCTAGATAAAAAAATTACAATCGATTTGAGAACTTAAGAGGATTCATTTTTATGAATTGTAATTATTTGATTTTATACAAATATTTATCTTTTTTACAATTAAATGTTTTATTACAGGTTCGCAAAAATAAATATTTATGACCCTCATTAACCATCTCATTTCTAAAAAAAAAATAAAAGTAAAAATAAAAATAAATAAAATAAAAATAAAAATAAAAATAAATAAAATAAAAATAAAAAATATTTTATATATTATTAATTGTTTAAATATAGGATTATGGTTCACCGGTATGTGTAAAATGTTGTTGTTGTGGTACCCCTGTATATGCTTCTTCGTCGTCGCCGTCATCATCATATTCCTCCTCCGATGACGAAAACTCTTCACCTCCTCTAGATGGCATAGGCATAGTCATTGATCTAGTTGGTGTTCGTCTCAAACCTCCAGGTCCTTCTCTAACCAAAGGTGGGGATCTAAGGGAATCATCTTCGGTTATAACTTTTTCATGAATTCCATACTTTTCGCTTTCTCTTTCTGGCACCTCAAACACAACAGATGGGGCATCATGTTTTTGTACATGTGGGGAAACATTCGGAATACCACGTGTTGTATTTTTATGAGGATTAGGTTCTACGCGTGAGGAACCAAGCATGAGTGGCCTTAATCCATCTCTTCTTTTTTTCTTTCGGTAGAAATTGAAATACCAAATCACGAGAACTCCAGCAGCAAGCGCAACTGAAGCTACGACAATTATTATAATTATAATTGGAGATAGAGAACTCGATTGTGATGTTGAATCACTAGTATCAGTTGCAGTATTAGTAGATGACATATTTATCGTTTAATGAAATTCATGAATTTTCCGTTTTTATTTGATTTTTTCTTTTTTTCTTTTTTGTGTTCTTGAACCATAAAAAAAAAACGTTCCTAAATGCAATCCTAAAGTTTCTTTTAAAAATGATTTTCGTTGCCTCTTTATATTGATATCCTATCTTCTTGCTACGCAAATATGTCCAATTGTGGCTTGGGTTATCAAAAATAAGGCAATTTATTATTTATTAGACGAGATCCGCCGGTCCTCGATCACACAATCACACGTGGCTGTGTCAAGACTTGAAAATTTTCAAGAATATTAAGATCACCCTTGAAAATCCCATACCGAACAAAGCCACCATGCAATTTTTTATGGTTATATCTGTATATGACCAGCTTTTTTTTTTTAGGAATACTTGATTTGTGAACTCTTTTATCCAATATTTAAGAATTATTAATTTCATAAATTGAAAATCGAAGTACGTCATACGTAAGTACGTACTAGAGTTTGGAACCGGTTTATTTTTCATATGTCAAAACCGGTTTGATCGGTTTACATATGAAAATAAACCGGTTCCAAACTCTAGTACGTACGTACGTATGTACAAAATAATAGATAACATAGGTCATGAAATCAGCATAAATTACTGTAATTTCTAATGATTAGATCGGAAGGAATTCTTAACACTTTTAGTAAGCAGAGTAAGCAGAATAAGTGAATGGAAGACTAAACCAACATTCCGGTGGATTGTTTATGTTCTGAATTTAATTATTCATATGAATTCTTTTAATCACTTATTTAAATTCATTCATGAGTATTTCGTAGCATACAATCTTGAAATCAGTTTTTCATTGAAATACATTTCGAGCGATCAAACAGGAATCATAATCCTCCCAGTGTGGCAACAAAAAACTTTGGACATGTGACGATCTAAAAATGCTTAAAGTTCAATTAAGTTTAGCAATTATGTTAAGATTAAATGTAAGCAATCCTCCCCAAATATTATAAACCCAAGGATCATTAAACCAATTCTACCAGTCCAAGAAGCAGCTGTCACAATAAGTGTGCCAA